ACAGAGCCGGAGGGGCAGCCAGGTACCACGTCTGGGAGGCGATGCGAAAGGTGAATTTACGGTTGGGGTGTGACCCGTGCACTGGATGAGTCGGCTTTGCGCTGCTCTTGAAATGGTCTGAGCTGAGGTTCGTCTCCTCGAATGACTCGGAGCTTTAATTGATAAGAAAGAGGTGGAGGAACAGGAGGTGGATGAGTGCTATCAAAATGGCTATCTGTGCAGCGGTGGCCCCGTAAATTTTTGAGTGTCAAGATGTTGTGGGGAGAGTAGCTCACCAATATGGCTTATAGCGTTACATAAGATACATGAAGCTACTTTACTAATAGTATGTGACAGATATGACAGTATATGACCGGCGGATATCGTACTGATATCCTTCTTACAAAGTGCAGGAGCCTAATGCTGTACAGAAAGCAGCGGCAAAAACACCAAGCACCGATGTGGCGCGCTTTTGTTGGGACGATTGTCGCGGCTTACTGACGCATTCAACGCCTGAGGTCATTTAACGTCGGCATCTTTCACACCGACCGTCACAGGGGAGGATGACAGCTCCGACCGGGAGTCATGCCTGAGCCTCACGACCTTCCAGACAAGGTCGCGCGCGAACGCTCCCCTCGCTGAGCTTCGCTATCCCCTCGGCTTCCATGGGGAGGCAAGGTAATCACTGCGAGGCCCTCAGTACGGACGTCAAAAGCCGTATGACCGGTACCCTGTGGTAAGAGCACAGCTATATTTCTAGGCAAGTACACTGCTTGGGTTTGCGCGGATATTATGATAGCCGGGGCGCGTGCGTGTTATCCTAGCCATGAAGCGAGTGGCTCGCCTGATCCGGCGAGGATGGACGTATTCGGAGAAGCCTGTGTCTGCGCTACACGCTCTACGCGGACTGATCCCAGCCCGCGGAGTGACTGCGGTTGCCCCACCCGTTTTGGGCGGTGTTTCCCGGGGCGCCAGTCCGGAGCATCAGTCTGGAGCAGCAGTCCGGAGCATCGGTTGGTATGCTGGCTGGTGTCTCCGGGACGCCAGTCCGGAGCATCAGTCCGGACCAGCAGTTGGTATGCCAGCTGGTGTCTCCAGAGCGTCATTCTGCGACGCGCCGAATGGCTTTCGCTCGGGCGGCGGTCTCCGTGGATCGGTAATCACTCATCCCACAACGCGTCCGTCGCGTTAGCCCAGCCCGGTCGAACGCGACCGCGCCTCGGGCCGAACAACGCGGCGCGGCGCGGAGCTGAACGCGTCATAAGCCGGCCGTCGTAGCCCTGCTCTGAACACGGCTCAGGTCAGGGCGCGTGGCCGCCGCCGTTGAGCGCGGCTTAAACCACGGGCTGGAGAGCAGCGGTTTCACCCAGCCCGAACCCCTGCGCCGCGGGTGGCCTGGTGCGACCGTGCAGCGGCGCCTGCGGCGCACCTCTGGCGGTCGGGTCGGCTCGTGCGGCCGTGCAGCGGCGCCTGCGGCACGTCTCTCGCGGTCCGGTCGGCTCGTGTGACCGTGCAGCGGCGCCTGCGGCGCACCTCTCGCGGTCGGGTCGGCCCGGCCGTCAGCCCCACCCTCGGCTTTCGTTTGTCCGTGTGCCGTCGTCGTGGCCGTGCCGCGTCGCAGTGGATGCCCGGCGGCGGCTGTGAGAGGCGGCTGGTGGTTTGGGTCGCACCCACACGCCCTCTGATTCGCACCCGTCGACCCGGACAGGAAGCTGGGCGCGGTTCGGACCGCGCCGTGGCGGCCGGTCTCGGGGGCCTACGAGCCAGCGAAATTGTTTCTTTGTTCGCGCCAGGCTGTGATTAAACGTATGAATTCCTGTCTGCAGGTGGCCGATTACACGAGGGCTTGTGGGAGAGCAGCTGCGTTGCCAGGGCGGCTGCGAGTTGTGTGGGCCTGTAACACATTTCGCGCGAGGTTCACACGTGTGTCGACTCGACGGCGTTCTGTCTGTTCGCCGGTGACCCATGCCGCGTGTCGTGCCGGTGCGCCGCAGATGGGACAGGGGCCCGGGAAGCCGCAGACGGCGGCGGCGCGGCGTGGCTGCCACGCCCCGCGTCCGCGCCAGCCGCCGTCACCCGGACTGGGCCGGCTGGCTGCGGGCTGACGCGGCCGCTGCCGCCGGGATGTCGGCGGGTTCGGCTTATCAGCCGCTGATCCGATCAGACGCGCTCCGGAGCAAGCGTGCGGTTGGATTGGCGCCTTCGCGCGAGCGGCGGCCGGCCCGGTGCGACTCCTCGAGGCGGCTGAGGCCGGCGCTGCAGCTGAGCCGAGTCTTCGGTCGCCGAGCGCCGCGGGTGTGAAATATTCCCGTAGTGCTACAGCTACCCGTCTGTTGTCAGGCAGTCTTCTTTGAAGTACGTTTAATCCTTTTGATATTTACATGATGCCGTTGACTTGGAGTCAAAGGGTGTAACTAACGATCAAACTCAAAGCTTCTTTAATCCCTTTGAGCTGGGCCCAAGAATACGGAACGTCCCAGAAAAATTGCCAAACTTAGAAGAAATGTCGCTGAGGGGTGCCTTTGAAGTGAGTTCCTTTGCGCGCCACTGTATAGATAATGTTGAGCGACCATGAACAGCACGTGAACTTTGACTCCTCTCCCTCCCCACTATTCTACGCCCATGATCTGCCCAACCGGCATGGTTTTTCTTATCGACAAAGCATCCGATGTTTTTGGTCAAAAGGTGTATAAGATCGCCGGAGGTGATCCGTCCGATGTCTGTAACAGTGCGATGCTTCACGCCGATCCGTCCCAAGTCAGTAACAGTGCGATGCTTTACGCCGATCCGTCCCAAGTCAGTAACAGTGCGATGCTTCGCGCCGATCCGTCTGGTGTGGTTAACAGTGCGATGCTTCGCGCCGTCTGAGCAATGTGGCCAAATTGATCGAGCTGGGTGTCGATGATTTGAATTTAACTTCATGGCATTAGACCTCTGGCTGTGTTCAGCTTCAATCGCACGTCGCTAGGTCTGAACCGTTGAAGTTTGACCCTCACGCTCCTTAATCTGACATAATCTGCTATTAATGGCATAAAACAGCCCTGCTTCCAGCTCTCTGAGGGTGGGGCCAATTAGTCTTGTCTGTCACGCCCTGTCGCTGAATGGGCTGATGTGCGTCTCAATAAGGATTGGTGGACCCTGAATGAGGGCAAAAAGTAATTGGCAATGAAGCGAAATGCAGGGGCGCAATAGCATGTCAACGGAAGTGTTCCACATGTATATGGGTTTTTAACTGAAACTGACTCTTGGAGACCTTTTAGTGCCGTTCACAACCCTGCCCTTCTTGAGGCCTGAAGCCTCTCTAGTTTCTGAGCTGCACGCCCGCAAAAAAGTGGGGAGAGTATTCCAGTTACCTTGGCATCCGTGACATCATAATAGTAGCATGCAAATTGTGTCATTTCATAAGCCATACGGCGATCAAGGCCAAGCAAAAGCATTATTGTTGAGGCGCCAAATCTGGCGTTCGGAAACACGATTTCCAGATTTACCAGCCGTAGATTGGCTCTCAATTAATGTTGTGCGAGGTACGATAACGTAATCAAACCATGACGTATATTTACTCAACAGATTATTGTGTTGTTTAGAGCAGTCTTTTCCGCTAAAAGTGATATTAATAGTTTATATGTGAGCTTGGTTCATCATATCTCATTCCTGCTTCAGTTTCTTCAAGTGTGAAACATTCGCTTTAAAAGGGAATGTAAATATTGTATCCGTGTCATCCAATTGGCCGAACATGGCCACGCTGCATGTAGGTGAGTTGAGGGCGGGGGGGGGGGGGGGGGGGTATGGCTCGCCCTCCACCACGTACCGGTCAGGCCAACCCGGGCGGCGACTTGTGATGCCGTCGGCGCGCAAGACAGCGCCCGCCGCCCGGTCCGCACCGATGACAAGCAAAACACGGCCTGCGCGCGGCCAGGAGGACGGAGCGCGAGCGGGGCCCGGCAGCTGGAGCGGGGACGGCGGCGGTGCTCCGGCCGGGACGCCGAGTCGGCCGGCACAAAATCGACCCGCCCTCAGCCCGGGCCTGACGGGCGACGGACACCGCCGACACGGGACGGGCCCGCAACACGGCAGCGGCAGGGACGCGACGCCAATGCATAGTGATGACGGCCGATCAGCGGGCGGTGCGGGTGTGGGCGGCGCGCTGCATCAGCGCCGGGACGCGTCGGGCCCGCGAGACGCGCTGGACACCGGCGGACGCGGAGGCGGTGCCACGCTGGGGACGGCCGGCAGCCGGAGATGCGGCGTCAGATGGGCTCGTGCCGGCGGCGGGATGTCTGTGGCGTAGTGGGGCAGACGACATAGGTCCCGAAGGGCGTTGTAACCTGCCAGGATGCTGGAAAGTGCATACCTGATCCTGTTACCCAGCGCAACGTAAATGAGTGTTCTTTAAAGTCTTCCCATGAGTCTCATATGCAATTACTATGCACTGTCTTGTATTTGCATCAATGAACTTTGCCGTCCGATATGGGCAAGCTGTAAAAGTCGGTGGCAACGTTGGATGTTCAATTATAGGTGCCTCTTAGACATATCTCACCCATTTTCGTACTCGTGAACCTCCGTGTTCAGAATTATTTCGACTGTGTAAATTACTTCAACCGAATGATTTTCGGGCCGATGTCTCGTTAAATTTTTAAGCTGTTTATGATGCTTTCGGCGACATTTTTCCCCGGGTCTTTGGTCGAGCTTGTGTTGCCTTTTCTCAAATAGCATTTTCCTCCCCAGCGATAACGCTGCATTCTGACATGCGAATGAAGTGCCCGCGAAGTCTCCGGAATGCGCTTTGCGGCCGCCACCGTCGCTGCTTTCTGGCTGAAGCGCCTGAGCCCATGTGTGTTCGCAGCCACTGTCGTGCTCAAGTGCCAGCAGCTGCCCCACCTCTTGGAATATCCCAGCTCTCACGCGGACAGCTGCATCCACGCGGACGTCTCTGCATTCCACTGGCCCACACATCTCACTGAAATTACCCGTGTCCCGGCGGCTGCCGGGCGGACGTTTCACGCACGCGTGCCCCGCCGCAGGTGTATCGCCGGACGGCGAGAGAACCGAGTGGCGGGCGGATGGCTGGGCCGCGCGCGCTGTCCAGCACGAGATGGACCACCTGGCGGGGCTCATGTACGTGGACCGCTGCGACCCGCGCACCCTGGAGCACCAGCACTGGGCGCTCATCAACGCCCGCGCCGGCCGGTTCCTGCAGCACTTCGACGGGTTTAGGAACAGACAATGGGGCCTGTTCCTGTGAATGTCCGCTTACGAATGACGCTCGGGGCAGCCGGCGCGGACAAGATGACCGAGGAAGGTCACGTCGGCTGTGGACAGTGATGAGACAAGGCTGAGCGCGTGCTGTGTCAGGCCGTTGTCAAGCTGTTATCGTGCGGTGTGGACGTAATGATTCGCGTGGTATGGGTGTGCATTGTTGCGCAATAAAGGGACGAGCGAATGGTTACTGTTCTGTCGACCTCGAATGGCTGTATCCTGCATGTAAGGAAATAGCTCATGTAAGCAGGTGGGTATGCTTGTCCGCTATACACAACCTTGTGTTCTCCGCTCTGTCCCCCCGTGACTGATTCCTTGCACTATATGGATTGCGTGCGGGACCCGAGAGTGCCATGCGGGATCCTCTCCGCGACAAACCGCAGCTTAGCCGCGCATCCGCACTGGCCGTCGCCGGCCGACCGGCAGACACGGTAGCGTAGCTGCGGCGCGCGCGCGGCGCGCGCTCAGGGCGCTGCGCCGCCCCGCCGGCGGCGGTAAATCGTTCAATGTTGCAGAGGGCGCGGGGCGGGAACATGCGGATCGGTGAGCGGCGGCCGGTCCGCGCCGAGCCGAGCCCGGCCGCCGGGGCCTGGCCGCCGTCGGCAGCCGCCCGCCCGGCGCCGAGCGGCCCGCCTGGGTCGGCCGCGCGCACCGCACCTGTGGTCCCGCTCTGACCGGAGGTCGGCGCCGGTGGCCGGCGGACGGGGGCGGTGGGCATCGCCGCCGAGCTTGTGCTGAGCAATGGCGATGGTGGCTGGGTGGCGCTTGAGCTGGTAGAGTGGCGAGGCATTCTGCTCATACGCTTGTCCCCGCTTGTGTGGGGAAGTTCGCGTCTAATTCGCACGTTGCGTCAGCTTCATCGGTTAGTCTGATGCTCGTTTGCAGGCGCCAATGAGCCCTTCAGTTTCCATTTAGCTACGTTGCTGATCAAAGGACAATATGTGCCTAGACTCGAGTATGACCCTACGTCACTGAACGATAGAATTGGGCCCGTGTTTGCAGATCTAGTCTGCTCTCTGATGTGAGTCATCTGCATTACCCTTGCTAATTCCCAAGTAATGGGCTTCGAAGGCAGCATGTTGCTCTGCACTATCATCTGTTTCCAGAGCTGTTTGGTCTGGTGCACTTGGCCTAATCCTAGCGATCGCCCGAAGTGGGGGCTGAAGGGGGAGCCAGCTGGGAGCCTCCAAAACAAACCGACTATGTCCTCTGTAAAACGCCAATTCATCGCAGAACGCTCAAGCAAGACAGCAAGCTCATGTGATCGCAGTTGTCTGTATATGACGCTGCGTCTTGCCGCTGTTGTGTTTTGTAAGCGATGGCAGATGTTGTAGAAGTTATCAGAGTTTCGTGGCCGTGTAGAAACATGTTTTGCAACGAAACACATTTTGAAATTGTGATTCATGCTGCCGTTAATCTTACGCGTCCATTTCACAACAATGCATCAACTTTAACACTTTGTATATGTTTCTGCAATGGTTGCCTTCACTTCGTAGTAAAGCTACGGCTATCTAAGCGTCTGATAATCTTCCACCGCTTTCTAATCTTCTGCGTTGTACTTTTTCTTCCATGAAATTGTGACATACGTCCAACTAACTGTAGGGGCCTTTGTTAGGACCAGTAATGCTCGTATGATGGTGCCCTGGACACGAGATGCATGGCGCCCCCTACAACACGCATGTTGTCCTCGAGTGACCCGTAATTCCGCGTTGGTGCGTCATGTAGGGGCGTCCGGTCGCAGGCGTTGCAGGAAATAAGATGGTGTTCAGGTGGGGGAGGGCTTGGTCACCCAACCTGCGGTTCTGCCTTCTAAAGTTGACGAGGTTGGGGAGCCCTGCTGGCCTCAAGCATCATGTTTCTGAAAATTTGCAAACTATTCATTTGAATAGCAAAGGAAGTCAAAAATCAAAATGTAAGTTTCATTTTCGAACAATACCGTAGAAGCAAGATAAGTAACTGCATATAACTAAACCACTACTTCGTTAGTGGTCAGTGCATATGTTCTATATCACTCCTTCCGGAAGTCAGTAATTTCACTAGATCCAGATCTTTGATTCTGTTGCTGAGCTCTGTGATCTCAGACGTTTGTCGCCGTCTTCGGCCTCGCGTAGAGCGTGCTCTCTAACGAAGTCGTGGCTTTCTCCCAGACCACGCCTCGGGGCGCCGCCGCCGGTGTCTCGGGGATCGAAGACCCCGGTGTGGCGGCCTGCCCTCTCGGATCTAGGTCTGCCGATGAGAGCTTTCGCGTTATGCTTCGATGCGTTTCGCTGCTGCAGTGGCGTAGCCAGGATTTCGTTCAGGGGGGCCAAATCAGGTCACATGGGGTCCTTTCAGCCAAAGGACCGATCTCGGTTGCTATTCAGGCCCTGTTTCATTGGTGAGATCTTTTCAAGCTATTGATTCTATGGTGATGCGCCGAGGGTCAGTTTTTGAAAAAGCCCTACTGGTGTCTTAAACTGTAAAAAGAAAAACAGACAATGTGCTGGAGTTTTCGGCCCTGGGAGCCCCGCCGCGTCCGTGGGAGAGGGGCGTGATCACAAGCTCCCACGCTGGCTACGCCTCTGTGGTGCTGAAGCCATCGGTGTCGTTGCTGAAGTCGAGTGATGGCAACTCTGAAACTGAAACCATCATGGACTTGCACCGTGGCGAGGGTACGCGCTACTCTTCCAAAATACCCGACAACCTGTATCTCTAATCACGGCACGGGAGGTTCTGGCTTCGGATACCTATCTAAAATAGCCATCGAACCCAGCTTCGCACGCCGTCACCAGGCTCTCTCTGACAAGCACGACTCTCCGAGGATGCCGCTGGTCGCTCTCGGATCGTGGCGTCCAAGCGCTACCTGCGGCGCCTGTCAGACAGACAAGACCTCCATTGGCTCTTCACCACTGACATCAGACAGCACCACTGGCTCTTCGGACCCCGGTCTTCAATGCTGTCACCGATCACTATCAGACATTGGTCTCCAACGACTCCACCGCTGTGGGCAGTTTCATGAACTTATGCTGGAACTTGGGCCGTCTTTCATCCGCACTCTGTCCGCATATAGTCTATAGGCTTCATAGTTTCACATAAGAACCTATACGTTCTTTAGCATTATCGAAACGGCCAAGATGGCATGTAAATTTAGCAGTTTTGACTCTTATGCTTGCACGGTACGATCTACAAGCGGAATTGTCTGGCTGAATCTCCTCTTTATGAAACTTACCACCGCATTGGTCTCTTTTAGACCTTGATTTCCGACGTGTTCACCGGGGCCTCTTGGAATCATGCTGTCGTCACTGATCTGTCTTGCAGGCCGGCCTCTCATGTCACAGTCGGGGCCTTTTGGGCCTCAGCCTTGGTTTCGCTCACCTCGCATGACGTCCAGCGTAACACGAGATGGATGAATTATTGACGCCTGCAACTGCCAGGGTCACTTGCATGGGCACGGCACATTCCGGTGTGAGGAAATAGTCGAAAAGGAGCTGACAGCAGCGGGAATCGAACCTGCATCCTATTAGGAGACGAACGCGCTAAAACGTTGTCTAGTTCCGATTAACCAAGCGCCGACTGGTTTGATTCGATGAAAGTCTTTGGCCAGTTGTTTCTTCCGGGGCTCTGAGTTTGTTTTGGCTCCGTGCTGCTTTTGAGTCAAGGCCTGATCACATAAGCAAGAACGGCCTTGATCTCTTGGCTTTATGGATATGAGTTTATAATAACATATTTATCATATATAATCGTATATATGCATACATATATATATATATATATATATATATATATATATATATATATATAACAAGCGTTTATGATCTGCTGACACGGTTTACGTCAATGAGACGGTAAGCCAATTTTTAAAAATAAATTCCCGGGTCCGGCAACGCCCATGGCCGCATGCCAAACCCAAAAGAGAAAACGCACCACCAAGACACCCAAAAGGAAACAAACATACAAATCCTGCAACACCCGCACGCGACAAACTATACACAAAGCCTCACAGTTCAGATTAGCTCCTACAAGGAATGACCGCTTTCACGACGCTGAGAAACTACAGCTTGCAAGATAAGTTATGGCAAACCACTTTTCTTAAGCAAACGTTTCAGTGGATATGATATTTCAGTGGATATCTTAACCTGAAGAATACCAGCCTGGTCTACAATTTTAGAAAATTGTATACAGTACTGAGGTATGTTATAATACAATGGAGATTATAAGTTTTCAGTTCTTATGCTGACAATAATCAACGTAGAACATACTAAGAGGTACTGTAAGGGCGTGGTTTCCTTTTCAATTGGGACGGGGGTGGGGGGCGCCAGCCTCGTTCTCCCCATCTTTGAGAAGACAATGGCGCATGTGCGGAGAGAGGGGGCAAAGTGGCTGAGAGGTTAGCGTCTTGAACTCCCTCGTGGTGCCCGGGTTCGAATCCCAGTTGCACCATGGCTCTGAGCGCTAAGATGGCCGACGCAGTCGCAAGTGTGCCATTAAAGGGGCGTGACGACGTGTGGACGTTCCCTTAAAAGAGAACACGGGGAGAAACCCACTTGTTGGCTTTTGCCCGGAGAAGCTTGCGTCATTTTTCGCTGTGCAACTCTCCCAACTCATTTTGCGAAATAATGTCCTTGAGGCGTTGGGAATATCACGTCATTAAGTAAACATTGGTAATATTGTCAAAACTGTACTATTCGACCTGTGCTTATGGTCACCGGGCCATGGTCATCGGTGACCGAACTGGGTCGTTTATCTAGAGCCATCCGATCTATTGGAGATCGATTATTGTCCACATAATAACCAAACTCATAATGACGTAATCCGCTCAGGACTACCGAACGGTCCCTGGTCTCTTGCATTTCCACATGCCTCACACCCGTTTCAGGGCCCGTCGGCAGGCCTACAGGCGCCTGGAGTGTTTCAAAATGTTTCAGTCCTACTCGGACACCTGACGATGGATCAGTGGCGGTTTTACTCCACTGGGGACCCACGTCGCCCAATTCATCTAGCGGCCTTCGGCTTCCTTGCCGCAGTCTCTTGATTTCCTCAGGGCATCTGGAGCGCGTCGAGCTCGGGCTGGCCGTCTCACCCACTGATCGCCTCAGGAGCCTGCACGTGCACAGTGACGCTGCGCAGCCTACCTTGGCGGTACGTCCTGCCCAGAAGACTCCCGGTTCCGTCGGGGACAGGCGTGTCCATGTGAGCCTGCTTATTTTTCAA